CCCCCAGCCAAAACATTTTTTCCTTGTTGCGCTGGCGGGTAGGCGTGCAGCCCTTTTTCAGGCTCTGCATTGATAGCTGGGCCATGCAGCCCTTTTTCAGGCTCTGCATTGATAGCTGGGCCAAGTACTCCCTTTTTCAGGCTCTGCATTGATRGCTGGGCCAAGTACTTGTTGTTTCCAAGGGGCAGTCAAGAGCAGTCAAGAGTGGCTCTTYACACCCTTTTGAGAGCCTGCAACTCGTGCGTTTTCAAGCGTCCTTGGCCGAACCCTTGASGGACTTTCRATTTTCAAGAGTTGTCAGGCCCTTATCCTGACGCCATTCGAAGAAAACAAAGTGTTTTTTTTTTCCTGGTTGTGGTCCGATGGATCACGGATCAGATACAATGCACTTGATACAATGCACTTGATCTGCGCCAAAAGGCCGAGAAAGGTGATTCTTTCATCCTCTGTCCAACACCATCGCCCTTTAGAGAGTGCTGTGTGGCGAGGGGCCCAAAACTCTTGAAAACCCAGCTCTTGAGAACGTCTGACAGCTCTTGAGAGTGGGCCCAAAACTCTTGAAAACCCAGCTCTTGAGAACGTCTGACAGCTCTTGAGAGTGGTGTGGCGAGGCCCTTTCTTCGACTGGTTTGTTCCGTTATGTTTATTAGTAGTAATCAAGCCATCCTCCTCTCACCGAGTTCGAGTGTGCGCGGGCGCGAGTGACTCGGAGGACGAAAGATGGCTGAGCATCCATGGCCCGTGCACGGTCGTGGTGCCTGTTTGCCTGGCTGCCAAAGCTTTCRGATGATCCTCYTCTCCCGCTCTCTCCTWCTTCAATCCCTTGCTTGTGTTCTGCTGCTTCCGATGACTTCTATGCGGGTTAATGGCGCCGTTTTTAAACGACCGGTCCTTGGCCAATGGTCTTCGGCTGCCAATGCTGCAGAGCCGGGAGACAGCCGAGCACGTCTCCTCGGCCAGCAGGTCAGGGGCAGTATGGCGATGGTGTCAACCRCGCTGCCTTCCTCGCCACAAGTTTTTGAGGCGGAAGCGAGCATGWCTCTGCTACAACCCGAGTTCTTCCTACCGAGCAACCGGAGCGTACTGCCTCCCATTGTCGTTCATACCCCTTCTCCAGACTTTCAGACGACGGCTTCTGGGAGGGCGTGCGGATCTATCATTCGCGACTTCACGTTTCATCCTACCGATAACCAGATGTGTTTCATTCTTGACGAGTTCTGTACAAGTAAAGAGGAAGATGCAGTTGTAAATCGGCGGTTCTCGATACGAAAAAGCCGATCTTGCGCGGGCGCGCCAAGGTTTCAAGAATAGCTCGGTACTCAGCTATTGGTGGCCGTATGGCGCAGGGAGCGGCCTGAGTGAGACATCTGACTTTGTGTGGAGGAAGAATATAACTGACAACATATCAATGGCGTACGTGTTTGGTCTCGACGTGAACAGAGAAGGAGACCAGCTGGTCACAGGGGCAACTCTGAGTATTGGGGCTCAGTCGAGTGTCGTATGGCTTTCCACGGCGACTGGCAATTGAACGAGCGTGGCCATAAATGCGAAGTTTGTATGGAGCGTGGCACTCAATCCGAAGAAGACAGAACTGTTCATCTCAGACGTCGCCAATCCCGTTCGGATTCTGTCGATGGCGGTCGCAGAGTCCGGGAGGCTGGACGCCAACGGCCAATGGAAGGGAGTGTGTAATTCCTCCACCGGCGACCCGAACATCACACGCGCTCAATTCGACTCAAGTAGCTTTCTGGCGGACGAGAGCTGTCTTTATTTCGCCGACTGGGTCTACGACCGAGTTTGGGGAGTCGATCCTCGCTCCCCTTCCGCGAGGGCCAGGTCGGGCCAGAGCGGGTCCGTCGATGGCGATGGTCCCAAATCTCAGTTCGATTCCGTGGCGAAAGCAGTAGCGACACCGGACGGATGTAACGTCTTCGTTACCGCGCTTGGGAGCGGTTAACTTCGGTGGCTGAAGCTGGACGCGCCCTGCAGCTCGGCGACCAGTGTACAGGTGGTCGCCAGATACAGTGCCGGCGGGTTGTGGGGATTGGCGCTTCGCCAAGCGGGCAGCGAACTAAGTCTGTTCGTGGGAGCGGACGATGGTTCCGTGTTCGAGCTGAAAATCAACAATTCGCAGCTCCACTCTCGCGCGCCTACTCCTCCCGTCGTCGATCAGTCCGCCTTCCCAGCTTCCTCGGATATGCCTTCATCTTGGGATAAGCTTTCATCTTCAGAACCTTTCCCCTGGCCTTCAGGATCTTCGGCGCCTGCTCCTCCTCCTTCTGGCCCTTCGCCTTCAGGACCTTCGGCGGTTGTCCCCACCTCCCAAGGAACTAATTTAGGTCTCGCGGTCGGGCTGCCCGTGTCGATCTCAGCCTTCCTGGCGCTTGCCACGTGCCTTATTGTCCTTGTGTACAGAGCGCGCCGGAATGGAGGGAAACGGGGGCAGGCTAAATCATCGCCGAATGCAACTGGTAGCTCAACCGTCGAGATTGGACGTACCACCAATGGCACTAGGGAGGGGGTTGCATGCCAGGAGGGCGGGAGAGGTGGGGGASTTCAACCCTTGCAAGTCAGACGATTCTCGCTGGCAGCTCTGCAGCATTGCACAGGAAAMTTCAGCAAGAAATATCGCATCGGGGASAGTGGGGCGTTCGGAGATGTGTACTGGGGCTCTATCGACGATCAGGATTTGGCCATCAAGGTGATGACGGGGGATCTGACGGAGGGAAAGAGAAGCATGTTCCTGGCAGAAGTGAACACGTTGAGCAGACTCCATCATTCCAACCTTATCGAACTGGTGGGATTCTGTGACGAGGGGAGTCGGTCGATCTTGGTGTACCCCTACTTCCAGGGAGGAAGTCTGTACGCTCGCCTGCACCACAGAGAGAAGGCAGTTCCTGGAAGACCTCGTCTCCCTCCTCTGACACTCGTTGAGCGGATTTGTATCGCCTGGCAGATTGCCAGGGGSCTCAGTTACCTTCACGGGGGAGCCGATCCGCCAGTCATTCACCGCGACATCWAGAGCAGCAACGTCCTTCTTGGTGATGGCGCTGGGGAGAAGCTGCGCGTCGCGCTCGCGGATTTCGGACTAGCGACCATCGGAGAAAGAGTGTTTGGCGGGACAACACGCCTCACGGCGGTGAAGACGTCCCACATGGGCGGGACGTTCGGGTACATGGCGCCGGAGTACGTGATGAGCGGAATCCTGTCGGAGAAGATCGACGTGTACGCTTTTGGCGTGATCCTTCTGGAACTGCTCACGGGGCGAAAGGCGGCCACGGAGGCGCCGTCCGGTAACGGATCATGGCAAACGTTAGCGGACTGGGCGATGCCGTTCTTGCGAAGCGAATTTATTGCTGGTGGAGGGATGCCGCATGCAATTCTGGACTCCTGCTTGCGTGACGAGGTGGCAGGGCGCGCATTCCAGCAGATGACGATGGAGGCACTGCGTTTAGCGAGCAACTGTTTGATGATGGAGGCTGCTGCGAGGCCAAGGATGAGCGAGCTATCGACGAGGCTTGAGGATCTGTTAGTTGAAGCTCATGTCAATAGACGGAGGGTATGAACGTCTTGCACATACGGCATGGACGTGTGGCATGTTCTCGCTAGCGGATGCAGAGGGAACCGCAGCAGAGACGCTGACTGAATATTGTATGCAAATGGGGGAAGGAAAAGTGATAGGTAGCAGACGGAGGTAGTTGGCTAACTGGACGAGGACGGAGAGAGCACGGAGAGCTAATACTGTATAATTCATACATAACGGCTGATAACCGTTGCCGTTCGACAAATTAGTGTCTTCCTGGACGCTCGATGAATCCATAGATCGATCGATCGATCCATCTAGAGAGAGAGAGAGAGAGAGAGAGAGAGAGAGAGAGAGAGAGAGAGAGAGTTTTTCTATCTAGGTCGCAAAAGCAGAAGGGTAATTCAGATAAATAAAGTCGAAAGTAATATTGTCTCTCGTAGCAACCGTATAATTCGTCTTACATGTTTTTTGGTTGGGCTTAGCGCAATCTTGCCCGATGATGTCTCTTTATTTTCCCGCCTTTTGACCTTTGATTACCGCCAATTTCTTCCCGCCTATTTTTTCTTCCCGCCAATTTCTTCCCGGAAGTTCGACAGCTGATTACTGCCATTTTCTTCCTGCCTTTGTTCTCCGAAATTTGACAACTGATTCCCGCCAATTACTTCGCTCGTTTCTTGTACAAATTTTAACCACTGATTACCGCCATTTTTTACCTGCTTTCTTCCATGAAAGTTCACCCCTATTTAAGGCCAATATAGGGTTTTTCAGAAACCCCCCTGACCTGCTATTGGGTTTTCACAGACCCTGACCCACGTTTTGCCAACCTATTCTTGTCATTTCTTGATTGCGTTCGAGCAGGGGACTGGCAAGCCCAGATCATAGCCTTGTACAAACTAAACCCGGTAGGACGTACGGACGTACGCTCTCCCAGACCGTCAAACAAAAACAGGAGCCTTGTTTCCTCCTGTTGTATCTTTTTTTCTGAACAGCATCGCCATTAACCTCACTATGCGCCTGGCTCCACTACTCTAGACATGCACAAAAGACAAAAATCATTGCGGTGTATCCTTCCATGTTCTAGCGGAAGATTCACTCTCGGTTTGCACATGTCGACAGTAGTGGAGCGAGGCCCTATATCCTCTGCATCTTAAAATCAGCGGCTATAATTCCGGTGTGCTATTCAGCAAGGACGGCAAAGGCTGGACCTTATCCGGTTCTCTGAATCTACTGTCCAGAAGGGGGGGACATGTCGACAGTAGTGGAGCGAGGCCCTATATCCAGGCAGGGTTCGAACTCTGCATCTGAAAATCAGCGGCTATAATTCCGGTGTGCTATTCAGCAAGGGCGGCAAAGGCTGGACCTTATCCGGTTCTCTGAATCTACTGTCCAGAACGGGGGGAGTTCAGGCAAGTGGGACTTCGCCCAAAGATTGAGGCATAATAGGGCCTGGCTGCACTACTCTCCAAATGTGCAAAATGAGAATGAATCCGCTAGAACATGGAAAGATGCACCACCGTTTTTTTGGTCTGTTCTGCATGTGGAGAGTAGTGCAGCGAAGCCCATACTCACATTAGGACTCCTCGGTGATCAGATTCGTCCTTGCCATATATCCTGTCAGATTCGTAGAGGGCCATAATTGCTGGCGGGTTGGTCCAGGCCACAAAGCCTGATAGAGGGCCTCGCTGCACTACTCCAGACTCTCGAAATATTTCGAGAGTTCTACTAGCATTGTCAGAGAGGCGAGACTTTCGTAATACACGCCTTCGCTGCACTTACTCAAGAACCTGTGACACTRGATGAAGGGCCTCGCCACACCACTCTGGAATCTCGAAAATTCGAGAGTTGGGCATCGCCACACAGCCTCGTGAAAAAAAAAAACTCGGATTTTTTCGAGAGGTGTCAGAAGGCCGGTTTCGAGGGCCTTCTCGAAATCTCCCAGCCTGCAGCTTTGTGGTTTTCATGATACCTCCCTTCGGCGCTCGAGGTAGTGCTCCGTTTCGAGAGCTGTCAGGCCGTGTTTGGACGGTAGTGCGCCGAAGGAGAAATGCACAATCTCGAAAGCAACTCTCGAAAATGCACCATCTTCGAGAGGCGGTTGACGCATGCATTCAAGCCATCTTTGCGGCTCGGTGCATTGACAGTGAGGAAGGCTTCCGCTCAGCACGGCCTCCGTGCGGTMCCGGACATGCATCCAATTCGAGAGTTCGGCTCCGCCACACAGCACTACCGAATCGGGCCGCGGAGAGGATCCACGTTGGAGAGGAAAAATGTCGAGTGTGCTGTGTGGCGAAGGGCCCTTTCCTCTCGAAAACCGCCCTCTCGAAAAGTTCTGACAGCTATCGAATTTTTTCGAGATTCAAGAGTGGTGTGGCGAGGCCCAAACTCTCGAAACCCGGGGAGTCGTCCTACTCGACAGAAGAGCTGCACCACTGCCCTACGGGACAAAGTCTGGCTGCCGGGACAGGAGGTCCACTCTCGAAGAACGAGCCTGTCAGTGGGCAACTCCCGAGGACACTTGCAAATTCGGTATTTGCAGGCGGCGCGAACCTGTGACACTAGATGTCGAAACCCTGGGCGTCCTCCTACTTGACAGAAGAGCTGCACCACTAACCTACGGGACAAAGTCTGGCTGCCGGGACAGGAGGTCCACTCTTGAAGAACGAGCCTGTCAGTTTGCAAATTCGGTATTTGCAGGCGGCAAGAACCTGTGACACTAGATGAACTCTTGAAAYCCTGGGCGYCGTCCTACTCGACAGAAAAGCTGCACCACTGCCCTATGGGACAAAGTCTGGCTGCCGGGACAGGTGGTCCACTCTCGAAGATCGAGCCTGCCAGTGGGCAACTCCCGAGGATACTTGCAAATTCGGTATTTGCAGGCGGCAAGAATGTAAGGGACGCTGGCCCCGGTTTCCAGCAAATGCACTAAAAAAAAAAAAAAAAAAAAAAAAAAAAAAAAAAAAAAAAAAAAAACTGTGACACTAGATGAACTCTCGAAACCCTGGGCGTCGTCCTACTCTACAAAAGAGCTGCACCACTGCCCTACGGGACAAAGTCTGGCTGCCGGGACAGGAGGTCCACTCTCGAAGAAAGAGCCTGACAGTGGGCAACTCCCGAGGACACTTGCAAATTCAGTATTTGCAGGCGGAAGACTCTCGACGTTTCGACAGTGGCCTTGTAGCGTGGCTTCTGACAGCTCTCGATCGGGTTTCGAGAGTTTCCCGATCGAGAGTAAGGGCCTCGCTGCACTACTCTAGACTCTCAAAGTTTTGAGAGTGGGCCTTCGCTGCACTTACTCTCGATAGGGAAACTCTCGAAACCCGATCGAGAGCTGTCAGAAGCGACGCTACAACGCCACTGCAAATACCGAATTTGCAAGTGTCCTCGGGAGTTGCCCACCGACAGGCTAGTTTTTCGAGAGTGGACCTCCTGTACCGGCGGCCAGACTTTGTCCCGTAGCGTAGTGGTGCAGCTCTTCTGTTGAGTAGGACGATGCCCAGGGTTTCGAGAGTTCATCTAGTGTCACAGGTTCTAGAGTAAGTGCAGCGAAGGCGTGTATTTCGAGAGTCTAGAGTAGTGCAGCGAGGCCCTAAGTTCAGCGAAGACCCACTCTCAAAACTAGAGTAGTGCATCGAGGCCCAGAGTTTGTGAGCGTAAGCCCTGAGGGCCTCGTTCCAATACTCGCCATCCGCCACAAACAGTGGTGAGACCAGGCGAGGCCGAAGAGTACATTTTTCTGGCGGAAAAGGGCGCTTGGTTCCATTACATCGTCGTCGCCACCTGCCCTGTGGTTGCTGTCCCGGCCTGGGTGCCGGCTTGTGGGGGATGGCGGGCTAATGGAACGGTGGTTCACCATGTACTGGGGACTGGAAATCATTCTAGGTGCAGCGAAAACTCGGGCCAACCCATGTCTACTGTCAGGACAGCGGTGTCAGGGCCAATCGCCACACGAAGCATTTCGCGGAGGGGTGAGAAAGTGACACCGATATCATTGTTTGAGTTTCAAATTCTGCAAGTTGAGCGGGGGGTTGAAACTGCAGCCGTTTTTATGAAAGAAGTGCGAATGCAGATTTAGAGGAGGGCGACTGCCTCGAACTGACCGGCCCTAGGTAATTGAGAATTGTTGTATTTCACTCATCTGCTTCCACTGGACTTCAAACTCGGGTCTGTATTTCAACAGTTCAGGAGTGTACCCACTGAGATAGGGCAGTTGGTTGCGCTCTTGTTTTGCCCTATTTTTTAGAATTGCTGAAGTTGACTGTTAGAAAGACTAGATGTGACCCATGAACTCTTTCTAATTAGCTATTGACGAACCTACATGTACTTTCGGTAGCCGCTGTACTCATATAGCGGAAGATCTCACGTACCAAGGCCGGAATTGCATACCCGGTCTACCCATCCGGTAGAGGGTTTGTTGAGTGAGGAGGTTTTGTTGCGGAAGATCGTTGAGTGAGGAGGTTTTGTTGCGATTCGGAGAGCGGCCGGATGATAAACAGCGGTGGTTTGACTGATGATTAGCCAAATTGCTGCGCATTCTGGCTGCCATTGCGGGGCCCTCAGGCGAGTGAAGGTAACAAGGCCCTCTCTTGGGAGTTGATTTTGTCCCCCTCCTGTATCTCGAGAGTCTGAAACCCCTACTTCTGCCTCTCTTACTCTAAAGTCTAATCCTGTTCTAAGAGGAAGGCGGCAGGAGGGATTGCAACCCGTAGGACCGCGACAAGACTCTGTGGGGACTCAACCCACCAATTGCGGGAGCTCTGCCAGAACTGAGGAGGAGTTCTAAAGGCAGGGAACTGTAAGGTAACTTTCCATCCCCCTCTATAAACCCAAATTATAACCTCTACCTGTATTGCCCATTGCATGGCTGACTAAGTATATGGTATGCAATCCTACTTTGACTTTTGTCTGATTTTCAGGACTTTAACTAGACTAAATAAAAGAATGTTGGGCAACCTCAGTTTCAACTTTTGTTGACCGTGTGAAAGCAGACTATTTAAAGAGATTGCATCTGGGAACGGGCAGGATGGGAAGCAGTTTTGCGTGAAGGTTGACTGGGTTATCAAGGTCGGGGGGGTCCCCATAAGTTTGGGGAGACCGAGTGCTTTGTTTTATTTTGGATTGTGTGGAGCATCAGACCATTCTATAAGTTTAGGTGGTCTGATTGCTCTGGAGGCTGGGAAGTCCCCATAAGTTTGGGGTGACCTAGTGTTGTGGATTTGCCTTTAGAATCAGATCATTCTATAAGTTTAGGTGATCTGGTTGCTCTGACTTGCGAGGGCTGCTGGTGATTGACTTTTTCAAGGGCCAAGTGCATTCTGTAAGTTCAGGTGTCCTGGTTGCCTTGTTTATTTCGGGGTTTCTTCTGTTTATTTGGTTAGGAGGTCTGAGCCATTCTATAAGTTTAGGTGACTCGGCCTCTTCCTGTTT